AGCCTTAAACACACTTGATAACGTGACATTTTTTCTCCCTTCAAGGCACTTACAACTATGGCAGAATATCTTATTTACTTGTTTATTGTCTGTCTTCTCCCACTAAAGCACAAGTCCCATGAGGAAAGGCAGAACGAAAAAAAAATTTTTTTTTAATTTAAGCCAGGCACAGTGGCTCACATCTGTAATCCCAGCACTTTGGGAGGCCAAGACAAGAGGATTGCCTGAGCACAGGGGTTTGATACCAGCCTGAACAACTTGGTGAAACCTCATCTGTACAATAAACCAAAAAATTAGCTGGGCATGGTGATGTGTGCCTGTAGTTCCAACTACCTGGAAGGCTGAGGCAGAAGGATCACCTGAACCCAGCAGGCCAAGGCTGTGGTAGCCATAAGCATGCCACTGCACTCCAGTCTGGGTGAGTCAGATGACAGCTTAAAAAAACTTGTATTCAGGTATGATTGGCCTATTAAAAAGCTATATATATTTAATGTAAACATCTAGATGAGATTGTGGATGGGTATAAACCCGTGAAACCATTACCAACAGCAAGGCCATAACACGTATCACCTCTAGCAGTTTCATTGTACCTCCTTTATTATTGTTGTTATTTTTGTAGTAAAAACACTTAACATATTAAGTTCTACTCTTTTGGCAAACTTAAAGTGTACATATATTTTTTTTAATAGGGCCTTGCTATGCTGCCCAGCCTGATCACGAACTCCTAGGCTCAGGTGATCCCCCCACCTCAGCCTCCCAAATAACTGAAACTACAGATGTGTCCCACCACACCTGGCTCAATATATTTTTATCTATAGGCACTATGCTGTATAGGGGATTTCTGGAACTTATTTATCTTGTATAACTGGAACTTTATGCCCTTTAATCATCATATCTTCATCTCTTCCTCCCTACCTCCCCAGCCTCCAGCAACCACCACTTTACCCTCTGCTTCTATGAGTTTGACTATTTTAGACCACATATGTATAAGTGACATCATATGGTATTTGTCCTTCTTTTCCTTTCTTTCTTTTTTTTTTTTTGTTGGAGTCTCACTCTGTTGCCCAGGCTGAAGTGCAGTGGCACACTCACAGCCACCATGGCTTTGATCTGTTGGGCTCAGACAATCCTTCCACCTCAGCCTCCTGAGTAGCTGGGACTATAGGCATGCACCACCATGCCTGGCTCATATTTTGATTTATAGAGACGAGGTCTCACCAGGTTGCGCAGGCTGGTTTCAAACCCTTGGGCTCACACAATCCTCTCGCCTTGGCCTTCCAAAGTGCTGGGATTACAGGCGTGAGCCACTGCACCCAGCCCCCATACAGAATCTGTCTTTCTATTAATATGTGTAACTTGCTTCACATTGCATAATGTCCTCCAGTTTCATCCATGTTGCCACAAATGGCAGGATTTCCTTCTTTTAGAAGTCTGAATAATATTCCATTGTATGTAGGCTGGGTGCCAGAGCCCAAGGGTTTGAAACAAGCCTGGGCAACATAGCAAGACTTCCTCTCCACCATAAATACAACAATTAGCTAGGTATGGTGGCACAGGCCTGTAGTTCCAGCTACTTGAAAAGCTGAGGTGAAAGGATTGCTTGAGCCCAGCAGGTCGAGGCTGTGGTAGCCGTGACATGCCACTGCACTCCATCCTGGGCAAAAGAGTGAGACTTGACTTAAAAAAATAAAAATAGCTGGGCTCGGTGGCTCAGCCTGTAATCCCACACCTTTGGGAGGCTGAGGTGAGTGGATTGCCTGAGCCCGCAGGTTCGAGACCCACCTGGGCAGCGAGACCTCATCTCTACAAT